TTCTATGGCTCCCCACTGATTTAAGCATCAAGTCCAAATCCTCAACAAGGCCCATGCCTACATGTCAGGCATTATAGCTTGCTAATTTCAGATCTTTCTCCACCACTGCCCTTTCCCTCAATTCAGACAAACTTGCCTCCCTGTATATTCTCTAGAATTCATTCTGTTCCTTCTTATCTCTGTGCTTTCGCACGTGCTGTTTCCTCTGCCTGGAATGTCCGCCCCCACCTCTTCACCTGATTGACACTTACTATGGAGACTCAACTCAGGTTCTGTCCCCCGCCACAGCAAAGCCTCAAAATTATTAGTAAAATAAATGGATCAATGACTGGTTAGATGAACAACATCACGATAGCATCACCGCACGTCACAGCTGTGTAAAGTCCTCTTTTTGCAAACCCCTCTGACATTTACTATATATTTGATCTTCATGACAATCTTGTGATGTAGGCAGGGAAGATAATTATCCCCACCTGGAAGATGGAGAGACTGAGGCACGGAGAGGGTAAGTGACACTGTAGTCAGGATCAGAGCTGGGACTTGAAAGCTAGTTTGTGTCTCACAGGCCAGTGCTCTTCTCGCAGGATTACAAGAAGCAAAATCTGTTCATCTGCCTAATAACTGTGGGAGTGGGGATTGGGCCTCTGTCCCCTGCCCTGATCCACCCAAGCAATAGGGCATAATGGGAGGTGAAAGCTAATTACCTAGTTCTCCCAGCCACAAGGGCTGCCTGCTTCCCAGAAAGTGTATGGAAACTGCCTGGATAGCCCAAAAGCTCCACGCCTAGTCTGAAAGCAAGACCTTTAGAAGCCCTAAGCACTTGGGCCGGCCCGGTGGTGCACTGCTACAGTGCGCCGCTTAGGAGTGCGGCGGCGCTCCCGCCGAAGGTTCGGATCCCACATACAGACCAGTTCCCGCTCACTGGCGAGGTGCGGGCACAGCGTTGCGATCCCGTTGCCGGACACAAAAAAAGACAAAAAGGAAAAAAAAAAAAAAAGAAGCCCTAAGCACTCAAAAGATGCGATTCACAGTTAAAAATTTTAAAAAGGCAAACTTAACCCTAAAAGTGTGAAGTCCCATGAAAGTCCCATTTTTTCCCCTATGAAGTCCTCTTCGATGCTGGATGAAATGTCAAATTCTCACTCCTCCTCCCTTATTTTTGGCCGTCCCAGGCTTGCTGGTGCCCTAAGCAAATGTTTAGTCTGCTCTGGGGGTGGGGCATTTGCACGAGCCTCCCTGGCCTCTGATGCACCCTTGGTTGCCTGGCCCTGTCCAGTGGTGACGCTGGCTGTTGGGAGAGGAGGGGCTTGGGGCCAGGTGCCCAGCACTTGGGATGGAGGCAGAAAAGTGAGATGAGGGGAGGCAGGTTCTGCCACTGGGGCCAATCTGGCAGCTGGGGGACACTGGGGCACTGGGGTGCAGACACAGACACAGGAGGGTGAGGGATGCCCAGGCTGAGAGTAGGGGAGGAGAGCCCTAACCACAGACAGGCATGGCCAGCAGGGCCCCCACACTGTTTGTGGTGGAATGAGCCTGAGTATCAGTCACGGGGAGGAAACCACCTTTCTCACCCGTCCCACCTCCTTCCACCCGAGCAGAGGCAGGACAGTTTAGAGTTGCCTGCCTTCCACATCCCTTCCACTGGGCAGGGCCACGGCAGGACCCATAGGCTGAGGATACCAGAGGCTTTTGTCCCAACACACTGCATGCCAACTGTGCCTCAGTTTCCCCACTGACTAAATGCCATGCCCCAGTCTTGTCCCCTAATTTCAATTTCTCCTATGCTATCTATTCACTTTCCCATCGGATATAGATGTACCTCAAAATTCAGTTGGTTTCAACAAGCATGTATGAGTCACCTACTATGTTCCAGGCCCTGTGCTGTGCACTGTGTGATGAGACCCAGTACCTGGCTCAGAGGAGGGCAGTCGCTGGGTTACGTCACCCTACAGCACCTGTTCCCGCTTCCGCCCTCAGGCTGAGTCTTGCTTCCACGATGCCCCTGCTGGCTGAGAAAGGAACTACAGGGCTCCTTGGAGGGATGGATCTGTCGTGGGTGGCCCATGAATTCTGGCTTGCAGTCCCACCCCCGAGTAGGAGAAATGGGTGTCTGAGCCTAGCCTCCCACTCTCCCACAACAAAGTCCTGGGGGTGAGAACAGGCTAGGTGGAGGGGACAGCCCCTTTCTGCCCTTCTTTGGGGTGGTACTCTCCACCCCCACCCAAGGCTCCAGTGGCAGAACGCCAGTCGCCCCAGGACCGCTGCCCTGGTGGCCCCACCTAGGGAGGTCCCATTCCCACAGTCCTCCGGCGGGGGCTTGGAGCCTTCCTTCCCCAAAGTACACACACGAGTGTACACGTACACACACTGACGACAAAAACAAAAATCCCTGAAGCAACCAAAGCCAGAAGCGGCACGCTGTCTGGAACATGGAGTGAGAGAGGGGGGCCTGCAGA